CCACGGCGGTCGCAAGGAAGTGCCTCCTTATTATGCGCAAAATAATTATTCCTCCACCTGACAGCAGGGACCCACCGGACGGGCCACCGTATTTTGCAAAAAAATTGATTCGCCCCCTGACTGATGGGACCCACCAGCTACATCTTCGCACGCAAGGAAGTGCGCCCGGGCAAAAAAAATGATTCGTCCCCCTGACTGCTGGGACCCACCATCTACATCTTCACACGCAAGGAAGTGCCTGACAGTCGGGACCCACCTGGTCGAAGTGCACGTAGCGTTGTCATTCTGGTCGCAAACGTGTACATACATACTGGTGGATCTAGAGGCACGCACGTGTCATAGTAGAGACGCGCACGTAGCATGTATACGCACGTAGCACGTAGCATGTATACGTACGTACATATACACGTCAGTGTGCAAGAAAGAAAATACGGCCACGTACGTACATATGGGCGAGGTCTCGAACGCGTACTCGCGCATACGTACAACCAGGGCTCGTGTACATGGCTGGGTCGGAACGAAGAAACAACGTCGTCGTCGTGTTCATGTGAAGCCAACCGGCTGGGTCGGAACGGAATGCGTCGTCGTGTTCATCGGGAGGGCTAGGACGGAACAGACGATGGAAACGAGGCCTGGTGTACCGCACAACGGAGGAAACGGCCTTGTGTTCGACCGACCACGTTTGAAACGGGATCCTGTTCATCGGGAGGGGTTTGGCGTACCGCAAAACGGAGAAAACGGACTTGTGTTGGACCTCCTAAGGTAGAAACGGGGTCCTGTTGATCGGGAGGGGTGTGGCGTACCGCAAAATGGAGGAAACAAACTTGTGTTGGAGCGCTACAGTCGAAACGGGGGTCCTGTTCATCGGGAGGGGTGTGGCGTACCGCAAAGCGGGACTCCACGGGATACTGTTCATCTCCACCGTCGACCTCCTTCAGCCTCCACGGGCTACTATTCATCCATCGTCGACCTCCTCCAGCCTCCACATGCGACTGTTCATCCACGGGCTCCTGTTCATCCAGCCTCCACCGTGCGCTACTCCACCGGCTATTGTTCAACCACCCCTCCACGGGCTCCTGTTCATCCACCCCTCCACCGTCTACTGTTCATCCAGCCCTCCACGGGGTCGTCCTGTTCATCCAGCCCTCCACGGGGTCCTGTTCATCTAGCCCCAACCGGCTCGATCGATTGGGGTCCTGTTCATCTAGAGGCAATGCCACGGGGTCATGTTCATCCACCCCCACCGCTCACTGTTCATCCACCCCCCTCCCCCCGCAACGCTCACTGTTCATCCAGAGGCAGCATCGATCGGCTTCAGTTAGCAGCAGTAGTGAAGGAATCGCTCGATCGGGTTCAGTTAACAGCCATCGATCGATCGCTCGGGTTCAGTAACACGTAGCCTGCAGTGCAACCGCTCGGGATCAGTTATAGCCCAACGCCTCACTCGGGTTCAATTAGAGCCAACGCCTCACACACACGCGCGTACGTGTATGAGAGAAACGCGCATCGCTCGGCCCCCGACCACCCACTGTAACCGGGAACTCACCGAAATTTTCCTCGCCCTCGCTTCTACCACGGTTTTTTCCATCATGGATGGCCCAAAGAATGCCATGCAGCTGCGTCTCCGGCCCGCCAGGACGAAAAGCCTATTTTCTATCATGATTTTTTGTCATAGAAGTAGGAGCCCACCACATCTATGACGATACCGGGTTTTGTCACAATTATCGTCATAGAAGTGTCATAAGTATGACAGAAAAATTTCGTTCGACCCAAAATGTCACGGATGTGTCTTTTTTTTTGTAGTGCAGGCTTCGGGTGTCTTTGGGCACGTAGTCCGGATCGTTCGGGTGGTTGTCCAGATCGTCCAGGTGGGGGCTCGGATGATCCGGGCAAGTCTTGTCTTGCTCTGTTCTTCTTCTTCCTTCTCCTCTTCCATGCTTGGCCTTGGTCCTTTGATTCTCCATGGTCATCTCTGTTGTGCCTGAGTATACACAAGGTCCAGACATGAGCTAGTAGCCATGTCTCATATGTGGAAAGTGGTTATTTGGAGAGGAGCGAGTTAACCTTGTGTCCAATGGCGTGTGCTTGAGGTCTCATCGTATGTCCTCTCGGGACTTCGGGAGTAGTCTTAGTGTACATGGGGATGACCGTAGGATGCTCCGCATCACCTTATTCCAATCATCATCGATCGTGATGGTAGTGAAGGCCCGGGAGAAGGCCATGTCAGTCTTGTCGCAAGGAAGTTAGGAGCCCACCAATGACTTGTCCAGGTCGTTCCATAGCAACCAAGGCCACCTCAATCTCAGGCCCCTTCCAAATCTTTCCAGACCGGCGACACCAGGCCCACCAAGCAACTTTGGAGGATAGATGGTCTTCCAATTCACCAACAAGTGCACACCCTTCGTGTTTTCAGCATCATCTGCACATCAAATAAATCCTCTCATGATCTTTGTCCACCTTGTTGCGAGCCCATTTTGGCAAAGGAATGGTCGTCGAGTGGATGTCATTGTTGTTGCAAGAACGACCTTAGCCAAAGTGACCCTTCCTTGTCGAGAAATGTTCTTCCCCTTATGGTCTGGCAATCTACCATGGATCTTTTCAAAGAGAGATTGAGGGTGAATCTTCCTTAGGCGGTGCACGTGCAGAGGTAGGCCCAGGTATCGACCTGTGAAAGCCCCCATCTTGCCCGGGAATGTAATCATGATGTCGCCCAGATCAATGCACTCGCGGCGAAGTCAATGGGAGGCTGAGGTTGAATCTTCCTTAAGCGGCGCACGTGCAGGATAGGCCCAGGTATCGACCTAGGAAAGCCCCCATCTTGCTCGGGAATGTAGTGCAGATGTCGTCCTGATCAATGCCCTCGCAACGGAATCGATAAGAGGCTCAAGTTGAATCTTTGTTAATAAGCGCACATGCAGAGATAGGCCCAAGTATCGACCTGGGAAATCCCCATCTTGGTCAGGAATGTAGTCATGATGTCATCCTAGGTCATTGCCCTTGCACGGGATATGAAAGATTAGCAAGAGAATAAGAGCATCTCAAATAGAAGATATAGATGCAAAAATACCTAATTTTTACATCTTCGGGGCCCAAAACACCTCTCCAACAGAGGATGTAGATGCAAAAAAATTACATCTTCACCTCTCGGAGATGTAAACTACTACACCGCGCGGTGCAAATATGCATCTCCACCCACTGGAGATGTAGAAACG